CGTTGCCACTTCTGAAGAGCACAAAAAATTCTGCTAAATTTCGTGCAACACTTGAAAAATATAATATAAATTATTCGCTGTTAACTTGTCAATCAATCTTTACTGTAATCACTCTTGCTCAAAAGAGCGGAGCCAGGCGGCCGGTTGACATCAGCATTAAATAAAATTAAATTACAGTTCAGCAAGAAACTGAAGCAAAATTCAAGGAAGTAGAGGAAAAACGCTATTTCTGCTTCATCAATCGATTTTCGTAGAGGCTCTAAAACCTTCTCCAATAAATTCTTGAATTCTTCTGTCGTTATAGACCTCCCATAATGGTACGTAGATGAATTAGGAAAACATATAACCCCCAAAAAAAAGAAGAAAAAAAAAAGAGGAAAACGCAGTTTTTATAGGCTAAATTCACAGAAAATTTAACGAAGCTCAAAAATTACCGCCATCTTGTGGAAACTGGCTGCTTGTCTTGATACAAGTAGTCAAAACAACTGTAACAAAAGATACGCAAAGAGAATGAATTTGAAACAGAACTCGAAAGCAATTGAGAAATTCTACTACAAAAATTATTCTCCTCAGGCTCAGTAAATATTGTTAAATAATCCCCTCGACTTCATCTCGCAGATTATTCAGGAAGTCAACTCAATAATGTTAAATATCGACAAGTGCTCAGTTAAGTGTGACTGCTTCGTGCCCAAACGCTTTTTCATTAGGCAGCCTCTTAGACGCCTCCCTCTACCGACTCTTAAAGCAACATCCTCCGACGATTTTTAAATTTCTCCCTCTGTCAACTCCTGGATAGCCTCCTCGTCCGATTTACCAGCAGGTTCCTCGTTCGAACTTTCTTCGTTTAAATATTTACTATTACCCTCACGTTACGGGCAATCTTTGTGTTAAAAACTTTTTCTGGCAGCCATAGCAGAGGGTAGGGATGAAGACGCCTGTTCAATTTCTCGGTTAACTCAGCATTGATGGTTGCGATGCTTGTAAAACTATTGTTATTTTTGTATGCATCAAACACCTCTCCAACTAGTTCTCGTGCGGTGAGGTTTTCGAGAAGCAAGTATTCCCTCTGTTGTAAACTCTTCTTCTTTAATATTTTAACCTTTCTCTTCCTCTTTTATCCCGCACGATTACCGATGTTTCCCAATGCGAGATGGAAACGTCCATTTTAGGTTTATTAGGGTTGTTGTCAGCTTACTTGAGGCTTTTAGAAGTTCCTCGTGGAGCAATCCTCCGCATCCTCCCAGACGATAAATATGACCAGTCCCTAACATTGATGGATGCAGGGGATCTGGTGATTACAATATAGCTTAAAGGCCAAAAGAAACCTCCTACAATTCACTAAATGTCATGAGCAACATCAGAAACATGAATACTGAAATGCAAGATGGTTGTCATCATTACTCTTCGTCTAGCTAGTAATTGCTTAATGAATTGATTTCAAGTTAGTATTGCGAGTAGAAGTTTACGTTTTTTTTATACTACCTCTTCTTATTCTGTTTTTATCATTAGTTTGAAAAGGCGTGAAAGGCTTAGGTTGATGTCCTCAATTAGTTTCTTTTTATCAAAAACCATTGTGATTACAACTGCGACCATCACCATTATTTTCATCTTTATGTTCCTCTTTTTAATTTTCATTTTGATTTCAATCTCCATTTTTATTTTCATCCACACTTTTAGTATCATTGTTATCATAATTATTATTATTATTGTAATAATTATTGCAATTAGAATTATCATTATTATTTTTTTTATTACTGTTATTATTACCATTGTTATTATCATTATTATTATTATTACTATTATCATTGTTAATATTAGTATTTATATTGTTATTATCATTATCATTATTGTTATTATCATTGTTGTTATTGCTATTATTATTATTACTAATATTATCGTTATTGTTACTATCATTATTATTGTTATTATTTATGACAAAACAAGATATCGTTGATGCCTGTGGCTCTCTTTTAAGTGTGCACAGGCTTGACAAGAGGCGGCGAGGCAGCCATTCAAGCCATGCACAGCCTATTTGAAGCCGATGATACGGATGCTGTGCCAAGAGGAGTCTCTGTGCTATTGGCCTCCAACCGTTAATTACACGCTTAAATCCCTCAAGCCTGACAAAGAAAATTTGGTATGCTAACGATGCAGCGGACGCTGGTCCCCTGAGAGAGCTGAGGAACGTGCTCAATGGAATGGAACCTAGCTTTGGTTATTATCCGAATGCTAAAAAATGGGAAACTAAACAGGGGAAGGAGGGTGCTGCAAGGTAATTATTCCGTGATACTGCAATTAACATATCTGCGCAAGGCCAGAAGCGTCTGGGCGCCGTCCTAGGCTCTAAAACCTACCTGGAGGAGTACGTGAACGGAAAAGTGGAAGGAGGGATGGGTCGATAAAGTTGTCAAGTTAGCAGAATTTGCTGCGACGTATCCACAGGTTTCATACGCGGCCTTCACATTTGGGTTGAAACATCGCTGGACTTACTTATCTTAGAACAATATCCGATATTGAAGATCTTTTAGAGCTGCGAGGGCGTGCCATAAGCCACGCCCTTATTCCTGCTATCAGAGGGCACACCTGCACGCCAGCTGAGCGTGATTTGTTAGAATTACCTGTAAGGATGGGTGGTCTTGGGAACACAAACCCATGTCATATTGCAGCCTCGGAATACGAAGCTTCAACTGCGATAACTGAGCCACTACTAACTGATAGTGGCGCAGACGCACAATACGGATGCTGTGCCAAGAGGAGTCGGGGACGATCATGCAACTAGTGCACTACAGCAATGTAACCGTAGAGATAACGATGCGCGCCTTCGAGAAGACCCAGAGAGTGAAGAATGCTCTTCCCGAACAAATCAAGAAAGCTGCAACCTTGCTGCGGAGAAAGGGGTATGTAGCTGGCTTACGGTCATTCCAGTTAAAGATGTGGATTTTACTTTAAATAAAAGAGAATTCAAAGACGCCATTCATCTGAGATATGATTGGTAAATAAGCGACACCCCGTCTACTTGTGCGTGTGGAAATTTTTTGATGTAGATCACGCCATAGTATGCAGACATGGAGGCTTCATTATTAAAGGACATGATGAGCTGCGTGATTTAGAAGCTGAAATGCTAAAGATGGTGTGTAATGATGTCCAAATTGAACCCGTACTTTAAGAGATAAACGGAGAAGTGCTGACACCTGGTACGAACAGAGCAGCAGATGCCCGGCTCGAAATTCATGCTCGCGGCTTCTGGGAGCGGCAAGGCTCTGCCTTTTTTATGTTAGGGTGTATTACCCGAATGCACAGTCTTACAGAGGCCTCACTACAAAATAAATCTACCACCGGCATGAGAGTGAGAATAAGAGAATGAACGCCAACAGGGTGCTAGAAGTTGAACAAGGCTCCTGTAGACCATTGGTATTTACTACCACCGGAGGAATGGCAGATGAATGCAAGAGGTATCACAGTAGACTGGCTAAACTTTTATCAACCAAGAAGGGAGAGGATTACAGTACTACTATTTCATGGATTCGCACCAGTTTCATTCGCCCATTTAATAGTCCTCACATTTAGGATTAGACGGTGCTTTGGAGTCGGTAGCGAAACAGCAAGATTTTAGGATTAGAACTTTTAATATTTTTCACATTACCATCATTACCTTTTTAATTATTTTTTATTATCCTATCCTTCTTTAAAGTTCAAGAAATAAACGTAATGAAGCTTATATCCGTTAGTTTTTTCTTAGATTTTTATTAGACATTTTAATGCATTTTTCGATTTTTTAACGATTTTATCATAATTTTTGTAAATAATTTTACTAATTATAGTGAATGAAGAATATATCTGGAATCATTGTTATTATTATAATAATAATAATTATTATTGTTATCATTTTTGTTATTATTACTATTATTATAACTATTTTCATTATGATCATCTGATTATCATCATCATTTTAAGATATTTTCTTTCAGTAACATCTAAAGATTGAGAGATTGTGTTCATTTTCAAAAATCAAAAGAAAGAGAGAGGGAGTACATACCCTATTTGCTAATTGAAAATGTTTTTCATAAAACCTAGTCTCATTTATTTTTGGTTAAAAATTTGGTAATTTCATTAACAAATACATGAAATACATAGTGATGGATTAAGCGAAGGAGGATTGCGGATGTGAGAGCGTGAGTAGGCTAGCTCGCTGAACAGGTTTTAAAAATGACGTACTCGATAAATGTGGTTTCTATGAACGTCTAGCTCCAAGTTGAAATCACCTTTTCAATTCACAGTGCCAGTGGCCCAATCCCATTTTTCAAGAGACAAAGAAAAAGCCCTATGTTTTCCGAAATTAGCCCCTGCTAATTCGAATTAAACCTGGCTTCTCTTTCCCAGTCAGCAAACTATGCTGCGCCACCATACAAAAAAAAATGTATCATGATCGTTCTCCCATCAAGCCATTCGGGTGTATAAAAAAGGGAACTCACTGTCTTCCTATCGCTGAGTCATGTTTTTCCTCAGCAATGTAGTGTTGCTCTTACGCACGATATATATTGACAAACCAGATGTATCTGAGTTTCGGGAACTTGGATAGCGGGTTTGAACTTTTTAAAAATTTACGACAAATGTATTTCTGTTCATATGTGTATGTTGCTGGCTTCTCCTCCATTAGTATGGTGAAAGTGAAATAACGGACAATTTAGGCTCATCTATGTACTATCCTGGGCTGGCTTAGCCTATCCAGGTCTACACTATTCTTTTTGGAGCATAAACTTATTCTTTGGAAGAAACAGATCGTATGCCAGTCTATGAAAGAGTCCAGACTCGATCCACGTTTTCTTCAACTTTCGCCTTCGAAGATTTTTCCTCTTTGATTCACCTTTGCATATGATTTATCCACTTACTTAGCCAACATCCTATCTCCTTTAACAGGAAAGTTAGAGTACACGGTGACCAATTCAGCCCACTTCGTATCCACCGTCAGCAATGAGACGATCTTAGACAACGAGATCATCATGGTATCTTTCGACGTAGAATCGCTGTTTACCAACGTTCCTATCGACGCCGCTGTACAAGCCGCACTGCAGAAACTCGAGAATGACCCAAGCCTTGCATACCACACCAAATAAACGCCTGCACAGATCGCTGACCTTTTGACCTTCGTATTGAGATCCACATACTTCAAGTATAACGGATCGATTTACGAACAAAAAGACGGCGCCGCCATGGGGAGTCCGGTTTCCGCTGTAATTGCTAACCTCTACAAGGAGAGTTTCGCAGAACAGGCGATGACTACATCATTCTACGAGCCTAGGATCTGGAAACGCTACATGGACGATACCTTTACCATCCTGGATCGCGAAAACGTAGATGACTTCTTACAGTATTTAAACAACCAGCAGCCTTCCATCCGCTTCACCATGGAGACAGAGAAAGACAACAAACTCGCCTTCCTAGACACCGCAGTTTTAAGAGAACCTGACGGTCCCCTCACCACCAGCGTATACAGGAAGCCCACGCACACCGATCAATACTTAGCGTATGATTGACACCATCCTCAATCAGTAAAACGCGGTATTGTTAAGTGCCTTTACGAGCGCGCCAAATGTCTCGCAACAAAACCCTCCGTCATCTCCGAGGAGAAAAAACATCTGTCATCTGTTCTGGTATCTAATGATAAAACTGCGGCGAAAAAGCCATAATCTCTCGTCAAAATCGTTTTTTTGGACGTCCAAACAACCTTTTGCCCTACATTCCTTTCTGGCGAGCTGCAATGTTTGCACCGCGGCGATCCCAGAAATCTGTGCTCAAACGCGAGGATCCGATTACTTCTTTGATTAGAATTCAATTCCACATGCAAGAATATCAGAGTTATTGCCTCAAACTACCTAAATGCAGTTCAACAATGCCCACATTTGTCAAGTAGTTGTGTGTTCCATAGATTTCCGGGTGTAAAAAACATGACGTCTGCTTGATGATGCGCTGTGATAGGGGAACTGAAAACACAATCATTGGCACTCTTCAACAATTCTTTCGTTGTATGACGATGACCATTTTGCAGGAAGTGGAAGTTTCATCGAAGGCAAAAGCACCGAAAATCAACGCATTGAAGCCTGGGGGTCTAAATTTCGAGAGGGTGGAGGGGGTTGGTGGATAAACCTTCTTAAAGACCTCCATGATTGTGGTTTGTACCATGAAGATTGCCTCGCCACGGAATGTCTGAGATTGATTGATACTGAAAATAGAGGGTGGAAAGCAGACGTCATGTTTTTTACACCCGCAAATCTATGGAACACACAACTACTTGACAAATGTGGGCGTCGAGGACGTAACTCTGTGCAAAGGAATGTATGCTGAGAGTTGCGCGTCGAACATAGCGAGGGTTTAGAAGAGTTAGTAAATTTGATCAAACCAAATTATTCTCCACCCTCAAATGGACGCGAGGCTCTTTAATTGAACTCTGAGATTGTCCAATTTCTTAAAATGGATGACTTAATCTGACCGTTGTGGTTTTCTCTCGCAGCATATAACCAGCTTTCGCCCCTCGTCTTGAGTGTTGACTCATGTGGGAAAGCAAATAACAAGTAAAGATAAAGCAAAACTTTTACTACTTACCGGTATATTATGTTGTCTGTATGTTGCATTTTCATGTCCCGTAACAAAGCTATTTCGAGTGCTTTTTCGTTAAGATGTCCAGAAGAGAACAACTTGTCATAACTAGAACATAACTGTATTAATACTGTAACAGAACATAATGTAAATCGTACTGACACTGATATGCAAATGTTGAATGGTCAGTTAGTCTATGGATAGATAATGTACAAAATCGTCGAGTATTAACTAAAAATTTCGACAATAGCATCAAAAATGTTGATTGCTAAGGAGGTTCCAAAATCTATGAAAAGTATGGAAAAACGCCGCCTACTTTGTTTTCCGACTAGAAGTTCTTAATTATCTAACTGTGCTTGAGTTGTCATAATTGAAGCTTATTTTTACATAGATTCCACTCGTCAAGACATGTTGTTCAATTATGCCTTCCTAAAGGCAGGCAAAACGAGGAGAAGAGGAACGAAGGGGAACTGTCGAGGAATGAACGTGGCATTTTTCTCAGTTACAGATCAGTCAACATCTTACTTACTACGTCATTTCAACTGACTCATGTGTGTCGATGAAGTAACATCTAGACTTTCCTAATACTCCTCCTTACCCAACTAAGCTCTTGCAGCCCTAGTTGTGTCCTTTAACAAAAACATTTTATTATTGAAAAATTCGCAAAACATTTCAACGGTTAAACTGCTACAAGCATTTTTCACGCTGACTTATGAGTTCTAAGAACCTTTGCGAAAATTCATTTACAAGGTCAATAGCTCTTGGTCTCATTTCTGTTTCATGCTTGAAACAGTCCACGAGAATACCGCGGAGGGAAGCACCAACCATGTCTGGCAAGAATTCTTGTGAGCGCGGCCATTCTTTCTTCCTCATGATGGCAATAAGTGACTCAACGTTGCTGTCTAAATCATCACTTTTCCTTGCAGCAGCTCCTTCCTTACCTTCCAACAGTTGTTTCCAACATTCTATCTCGGTGAAAAGTTCAACGAGCGTACATGCCAATGACCAGACATCTGAATGGACTGCTGCTTTCTTCCTCTCAAGCAGACATTCAGGGGCCATATAAGGGGGAGTTCCTTGGATTGCTGAGCTAGTCGTGCGTGTAAGGGATTGTTCTCACTTCAGTTTGCTCAAACCCATATCGCACAGCTTTGTGATGAGGATTTTCTCGCACATTGGCAGGTTTTATGTCTCTGTGAGGTAGAGGAAGTTTCAATCTATGCAAGTAGGCAACAGCTGACGAAACTTGCTTCCCAACATCAAGCTTATTGCAGCTTTGAATTGCGAAAGTGTTAGAGGTTTCGTCATCGTTGAATAGTAATTCCTCCAAACTTCGCCCCTTGATAAGTTCCGAGACCAGGTAAATAGGATTTTTCAGATATGAGATGGCCATAATTTGCACAATGTTTGGTTGGTGAACCATGCTGTGAATTCGTACTTCCGTTTCCATGACTGTCTGAAGACACTTGGCGTTTCGTATTTTAACATGCTCCACTGCGACCTCGGTTCCGGCCCACACACCCGTGAACACGACACCAAAGGAACATCTTTTACTGAAAGTTAATTTCTTCCTTCTGCACAACAGGCAGTGGGGTGACGTTCGCCTTGGCACTTGTGTCGGAAGCAGAGACACTTGGAGGTCCCAAATCACTTAAATTGCGAACCAAAACTGGCTCCGACGTAGTCTTTTTTTCCCCGCAGTGCACCTCGATATGGTAATCTACTTACATCATCCATGTTGGTACACAACAACAAAGAATGAAAAATTGGAAGACTGGTACCCAGGGTCTGAAGTCCGAAGTCTGAAGTCCAAAGAAGTCTTAAGTCTCAAGTCTGAAGTCTCAATTCTGAAGAAGTCTCAAGTCTGAAGTCTGAAGCCTGAATTCTGAATTCAGAATTCTGAAGTCTGAAAGTTTGAGGTCCGAAATCCCTTTTCGGCTTTCATACATATATCATTGGACATTTTACCAAAAAAAGACGTTTATAACTTTCTAACCTGACCCAATTTAAAGCCTCAAAGAACCTTATTGTGCAAAAAATTACGTAGATAATACAACTGCATGGATATTAAAATACCAGAGCTGAGCTTCTGCTTACAACAAATAAATGCTGTCATACGGAGGCTAGCAAAATTTGTTTTAAAAAGTGACCAAAGGAAAAAATTGGGCAGGAAATGTAGCTTTCAATTAAAAAGAAATTCGTCTAAAATGAATTGAAAGTGAGTTTTTTTCTAACTGTTATACTGAAGATCATTTCTAAGTAATGTAGAGGGTCGTAGTCAAGTATAGTACCCGAATAACTAAAACCTCTGTGTTTGATTTAGTTTGATCAGATCGCCGAACACACAATCGCACTTAGTCGAAGGATTGTTTTAAAAGAAATTCGTCTAAAAATCGATTGATAATGAGTTCTTTCGTTCTGTTACGCCGGAGATCATTGAAGAGGGTCATAGCCGAGAAAAGTACTCGAATAACATTGAAATGGTTCGAATCTATCAATTTTGATTGGCGACGCGAGGAACAAATATCACTTTCAGAATTGGTCACGATCAACTGGTGAGGATATATTAAAACAAACGTTGCACAATTCTAACCCCGTTCTTGTGACACATCATCTCATCTGCAGCAGCACTTTGTCAAATTTGTATTGTCATGAAATAGCCAAGGAATCGAATTTAGTTTAATAGCGAAGCGCATATGTTTCTAACTTACCCTTGGGAAGAAGTGGATCTCTTGCCAGTCTTTCTCATTTGAAGGAGCCAAATGACATTGTCCATCTCCTACTTTTAATTTTCCGATGCTTTCCTCTTATGATTTGTTTTTCGCGGTCGACGCCATTTCGAAACTGCCTTATTACGGCCGGAGTTGAACGTATTAGCTATAAGAGGGTCTCCCGGGGTCTCTGGGGTTAACCGACTTATGACAGAGGACGAAAAATAGATTTGACTACCAACAAAACGAAAAAACAAATACTTAATGCCGACAAGTAACTGACTTACCGACAATCGACATAATCTAACATTATCACTTTTTTTTATTCAGAGAGAAGAGTATTCTAGCTTAGGCGTGGAGGAATGTCTGAATGAGGTTAATCGACCTGCGACAAAGGCGAAAAGTATAGCTGACTACCAACAAAACGCTGAAAAAAATTACCGATCAGCGACAAATAAATACTAACCGACAACCGGCACAGTCCAAAATTATCGATATTTGGATTCAGGAAAATAGAAGCAAACAGCCACATTATGGGTATATTTTTGAAGGCAGATTTCAAAAGCTCATATGTCTCGGTTTGCACTGAAATTGCTTTGCCTTTCTCTTTCAAAAGCTTCTGCAATTTTCTTTCAAATTTAACTGTCACAATTTTCATTGTGAAAAGGCTAAGGTATTATTGATAAATGTAGCAAATCGACTTTCGTTTTAGATATCGACCCTCAATCAACCTCTCAGATTAAACAAACAAACAAAGTTTTGCGAAAGGCTTGAAGTACTTTGGCAATGAAACTCTTCATCTAAAGAATAAATAACTGAGAGGCGGTCTTACGACACGCTTCACTGTTAGCTGCTGTTCTCGCCTCATTTTCATTGCAGAAAAATTTGTTTATCTCTTTCAGATTATCAGTCGCTGATGTTTATGTCCTTTTACTTATTTTACACGACCAAATATGTCACATCACGGCTATCAAACATTTATTAGCCAACAGCAGCCAATATACCGTGGGAAAAAGTAAGATAAAATTTATTCCTTTTCCAAACAGGTGCCTTTGCATATATGTTCGTGTGTTTTTCCTTTTTTTTTTTTTAATTCATTTATTCTTGTTGATTTAATTCGAAGCAGATGTTCATCAATAGATTGAGGATGTCGAAAGGTAAATTATTCAAACTCTTCGATCTACAGTCGACTCTCGCGCTGCGGACACCTCGCTATTACGGACACCACCCATTAGGGGACAAAAGCCAGACCCCCGCCGAAACGCACATTAAAGACTCTCGCTGTTACGAAAATCTCGCTTCGTCCAAATCCTGACTCACATAATATAAAGCGACATTACGATAAAGGAAAATAAAGAACCCATTTTTCAATTGGGTGCGAACTTGAGAATTTCCTGAAACAAATAGCAATAACTTTTAAGTTTGCGACATGTGCCCTGTGGCCCACCGTTATGTAAATTTCTTTCAGATTAGCACGCCTATTTTGAGGGTCTTTTTGGGGGATAGCTTTGACGGTTGATGGTTAATTTTTTTCAGTGGATTTTTACAGTCAACAGTTAATTTTTAACACCTCTGACGGTTGACGGTTAAATTTCAGAGCCTTTGATGGTTGACAATTATAAGAGGATGATTTCCCTGAATGTTAAATTAGCATCTTGCGCACCTTTAGGATTTCCTTTCTTTGAAATGTTTCGTAAGAATCTCGCACACTTTTAGGATTCTCATTCATTCGATTGGAATGTTAGTGTTTCCCCTACTTTTAGCACTTTTAGCACGGGTTAACGATAAAAACGCCGTTGATCTCCAAGGAATCACTTATATGCTGGCAAAAACTCCCATTGAGGAGTTGAACAATAAAATCTATCGGCAGATTTCATGACACTCGAAATGATCTGAGCGGGATGTCAGTTCTTGTCGAAAGGCAGTAGTTGTGCGTAGTTCAGTGTACAAAGACAAGTATTGACTTATTAGCTTATTTACTAAAATGTTTTCAAACTGCCGGTTTTATAGGAGAAAATGACGGTGAGAGTGATGGGCTCCTAAAACAGATAGGATTGTTTTCTTTACTCTACGGTTCTATGAAAAGATGTAAAGACCAAAAGTGTTCGTCAATGAATCAAAAAACAGTTGGGAACAATTCACAATATTTTGCTGAGTGCGAAGAACGAGAACCACCTAATCGCTGCGTAACTGATTTTGAGGTTAAAGAAATATGCTTCACTTTGAACCGTTAATTCATGGTTAAAATTATCTTTGTGGATTAATTTGTAACATTATTCTCAGCTTTGTTTCAGGTTTAAACCACAGTAAAACGACGGTTAAAGCTTTCGATCACTCAGTGAGTGGCAATGAGTGGCATGGTGGCAGTAAATAATTCTTCTATTGCAGGTACGTTTTCATGTCTTATTAGTCTGAAGATATTTGTTTTGGCACGTTTTGGATAAACAAGAATTCTTAATGTTACCATGGTTGCCTCTGCGTGAGTTGAAGTCAACAGAAGTGAAGTGAAGCGCCTCACCCGAGCAAAGGGTCATCCAAGTAAGAAATCACAGATGCCTGTCTGCCCTCGCGCGCTGCTACTGAGGAACTCTCTTACATCGGATGAGAGGTTTTCTCCTACAATTGGGCAAAAGGGGGGAGGAAACTGGGGAAGGATCTATTCCCGCTTTCCTCTTTTATTGGACAGCGTCATTATTTAGGATTGGCTAGGGTTAAGTTAGCTTCTTATCACATTATCTGTCATAATAATATAGGAAATCTCAAAATAATGTATTCCCCTTTTCTTTCCTCAGGTGTGGCAAACTTAAATTCATCAGTTGTCTACAGTTACTTTCCTGCGAGCGGTGCTGTATGGATAACTATGGCATATGTGGTTATATTCGTCTTCGGCTTCTTTGGTAACATCTGTATCATTTACATTGTGGTTTCTCGTGAACAGATGAGCACTAAATTCAATTTCTTAGTTGTAAATATGGCAGTTGGAGATCTACTTGTTTCTCTCTTCGTTATGCCGTTTGAGGTGAGTGACAATTTTCCAATTGTTAAGGGTTAATTCATTGTTTAGTTTCGTTATGCAAAACGTTCTCACTCACTCCCAGTAGTATAACACATTTTTTATTTCCCACGCTATTAGGTCGTGTTGTCAATGGAATACTTATCTTTCGTACCTCCCTGTCTTTGTAGGTGAGATATCTTTACATTGGCCTGGCATGGATTCCAGGGGCAATGGGAAAAGTCACGTGCAAGCTTGTTGGGTTCCTGAGGATCTTGCCAGTCGCTGTCAGCATCATAACACTTGTCTTCATTACAGTGGATCGTTACTTCGCCATTCTTCATTCACTTCGAGATATGCGTTTCATTCGAAACACAAAACTAATATGTGATATGGATCTCGTCTTCCCTGTTTTTCCTGCTGTATCTCTTGCTTTATGACGTTGTAAAGAGTGCTGACGGCTTTCAATGGGAATGCAGAATGGTTTGGAATTTCTTTTCCTCAGACATGAGTGTCCAGTTTTTCATTAGGAGAGCCTGTTTCATGACCATGTTCTTGATACTGTATTTGGTTCCTCTTGTTGTCATAGCATGGGTTCATATTCTTATTGGTCGACATCTTTGTTCACGCCAGATCCCAGGGGAGCCGACAGCCCATCAGCGACATCAAAATGAACTGTCCAGGCGCAAGGTACTACGCATGATCATCATCGTGGTGGTGACGTTTGCGCTGTGTTGGTTGCCGGCT